GGAGGCAGAGGCAGGCAGATCTCCGTGAGTTCAAGTCCAGCCTGTTCTACAAAGTAAATTCCAGGACAGCCAGGACTTTACAGACAAAAACCACCACCTCATTTGAGCCTCATTTGAGGAAATGCCTCCATGAGATCCAGCTGTAAGGCATTTTCTCAATTAGTGATCAACAGGGGAGGGCCCAGCCCACGGTGTGGTGGGTTTTGTCTTGACAAAAACAAATAATAATAATTAATAATGCTGTCATCTAACTACAGTATTTTGTCCTGTGACAGGTAATCATCACACACCCCCTTCAATGTTAGTGGAAACAGTAGTTCTCAAGCCTGGTGTTATAAGAGACATACGGGTGAGTTCTATTCAGCTGTACAGTGTTTTGAATGCAATGTACAGCTGACGTAGTGTGCTGTACTGGAGCGGGGGGGAGGTTCCCTCCTTCTCTACCATCAGCGGAAGGGTGTCATCAGTCTTCACATGGTCCGTGGGCCTCCAGCAGCCACCTCATCGGGGACCTTAGGAAAACAGCTTCTCGGTTCTGCCACTGAATTGTTGAATCAGAGACTCTAGAAGACTTACAGATATGGCTTCATAGTAGAACGGTTACCCCGTCCACAGTATGTTTAAAAATCACAAATCCCCACGGCAGCAAGAAAACAGAAGGAACTCTGGGAAGAGGCCTGGGCCTCCTTGATTTAACAAATCATTGAGGGGAAAGTACCCTCGAGTTTGAGGACCTCTGAAATGGACCCGTTCCTTGCTGATGACTTGGCATTGTAAATAAGCTCAGCAAAGAATCAAATGAACTTTCAACACAGTAGGTTAGGTTTATTACTTCGTAGACAGGGTCATAGTCATGGTAACAAAAGGAAGGAAATCTGACACCAGGGAGGAAAACATGCTTCCATTAGCAGTTGCATGTGTCCCTAGGCAGCTTAAAATATGAAAGCCTCCAAGGCTGGCCCAAGAGGCCACTGGTAGGGAGAGCTGAACTGAAATCTGAGCACTGCCCTCATCCCCCGTGGGAGCACAAAACTCCCCGCTGCCCCTCAAAGCCAACGATGTGTGGAGAGGCTTGCTGCTTTAAGCTGCCATCCAGGTTTCAAGGCAACAGTAGTAGGAAAAAAAATCCCTATCAGGAAGTTCTCCAGCAGCGAGAGGCAGAAGGAGAGTGTGCCCCCCCCCCCACAGGCTAGAGAAGGGGCTAAAGGGGACTGGGGAGGCTGAGACACGGGATAGGGAGGTCGGAGCAAAATAAGAGATCCCAGACCCTGGAGGGTTTTTTGTCCACCTATGTCATTAAAAATCACAAATCGCATCTCACGCCAATTCACACAGCTTTTGGAATGATCTTACAATGGGAACACACTGCTTAGAATGCTATTGTGGTTTGGACCAAGGGACGCCGTTCTCATTCTGGGAAGGCAGCGGTAATTGTGATTATAGGCTGGCTTTCTCCACTCACCTTCAGATCTCAAGCTGGAGGTACAACAGATGATTGCCCCCGATTGACTCGTCACCTGCAATGTCACTGTGTTCTCCCACATGAAGTGGGATAAACAGAGGAGTACCCCCAGTACCCTTACCCAGCTACTCAATACCTCTGCAGTCTCAGTACTCACAGCGCATTGTGCTCTAGAATCTAGTGCCCGAAGTGGCCGTTCAGACACCAAATTCTCAGAACAAAGGAGATTTGTTACCCCAGAGGGATAAAGTGGGGGGCGGATGCTGGATCTGGATCGGGCAAAGACAGCAGCAGGGTTCTCTGCAGGAGTGGTTTTTAAAGAGAAAAGGGGCTAAGTCTGTGTTAGGATGAGCTGGTTAAGTCCTGATGGGACAACGTTAACCAGGGTAGCCAAATAATGAATTTTGATTGCTGGACCTTGGTGTTTTGATAGTTAGATCTTGGAGTTTTAGTCAGGCACCTCCATTTAGAAGTGGCCAAATATCGGAACAGATCTTGGGGGTTAGCTTTAGGAATGCAGTCTAATGGTTTAGCCAGAGATAGGGAAGCGGGGAGGGCAAGATCTGCTGGGGCTATGCTTGTTAGAGAGCCCTTCAGTGCCAGCTGAAGGTGGGCCTGGGCACTCTGAAGGGGGTGAGGCTTGTTTTGTATTGTTATCAAATTAGGCTTTCTTGGGGCTGAAATGAAGTGAAGGGCATTGGAAATTCCAAGAGAACATTCACATATAAGGTTTACTCCAGGCCAAATGCTGCCTTTAAGAAGTGGACAAATTACACCCCATGGGCTAAGCCAGTCTGTAGCCTGTTTTGTAAATGCAGTTTTATTGGAACACAGGCTTATTCATTCGTGTATGGCCTATGTCTGCCTTTGCATCAGTATTGCGTACTTTCGATAGAAAACACATGGCCCACAAAAGCCTGAGACACAGACTATCTGGCTGTGATAGTTTGAATAAGAATGGCCCTCCATAGGTTCGTATATTTGAATGCTTAGTCATCGGGGATTGGCACTACTTGGGAAGGATTAGGAGGCGTGGCTTTGTTGGAGGGAGTGTGTCACTGGGGGTGGGCTTTGGGGTTTCAAAAATCCAAGCCAGGCCCAGTGTCTCTCTCTCCTGTGGATCTGGATGTAGAACTCTCAGCTACCATATCGGCCTCCATGCCACCATGCTATGCCCCCCCCCCATCATGAGGATAATAGACTAAACCTCTGAAAGAGTCAGCAAGCCCCAATTAAATGTTTTCTTTTGCTAAGAGTTGCCTCCATCTAGATGTCTCTTCACAGCAACAGAACACTGAATAAGACACCGGCCTTTACAGAAGCAATTTGTTGGTCCTGCTTTACACTCAGCTCTCACCTCCGGGTCTTGGAAGTCACCACAGTTCCGCCATTCTCAGAGCTGTCCTCTCAGCACGAGGGTCTCAGTTGTGGTGTGGTCTGCTCTGGAGCGCCCTGAAGGCCCATGTACCCAAAGCCTAATCCCTAGGTGATGGAGCTCTGGATAAAGGGTGGGATCTGTGGAGGCTGGGTCCAGTGGAAGGGAGTTCAGGGTTTGGTGACCCCAACCTCTTCCTGCCCCATTCTTTGCTTCCTGGCTACCATGAAGTGAGGAGCTTGGCTCCACTCTATTTTCTCTGCCTACCTCAGACTTCAAACAACAAAGCCAACTGATCATGGATCAAAAGCTACGAAACCATAAACCCAGATAAGTCTTTCTCCTTTCTAAATCGATGCTGGAGAGATGGCTCAGAAGTTATGAGTACTTGGTGCTCTTGCAGAGGACCTGTGTTCTGTTCCTAGCAACCCTACGGTGGCTTGCAGCCATCCTTAACTCTTAATTCAGGGGGATCTGATGCCCTCTTCAGACCTCCATGGACACTAGGCATGCACGTAGTGCACAGACATTCAATCAGGCAGAACACTTGTACAAGAAATAAATCTTAAGAAACTGTCTTAAACCATCTATAAGTCTGGTTCCAGGGGATCCAACTCCCTCTTCTGACCTCCCTGGCCATGTGGTGCACAGGCTTACATGCAGGCAAAACATCCATATATCTAAAATATCAATTTAAAATAACAATTATAAAATATGAAAAATAAGGTGGAGAGCTACTGAGGAAGACACGGAATGTCCCCCTCTGGCCTACACACACACACACACACACACACACACACACACACACAGTTGACCTAAGTGTCAGTCAGCTGATGAATGGATAAAGAATGTGTGGTGTGGCCATACAAGTAGTAATATTTAGCAATAAAAAGGAATGAAGCACTCAAGTAAGAGCATGCTACCACAGCCTTGCAGGCACACCGTGTGAAAGAAGCGACATGCGAAGACCCACAGACTAGGGGAAACCATTCATTTGAGATGTCTGCAGCAGGCAAATCCACAACAGAAATCTGCCTAGTGAGTCCCAGGGACTGGGGAGCAGGTGAAGGGGATGGGGAAGCACCAGGTGTCAGAAAGACAGTGAAGTGTCCTTTGTTCGTGATGAAGATAGTCACACAACACTGCAAATATGTTAAAAACCACTTGATTGTAGAGCTGAAATGAGGGAATTTTATGGTATGTGAATTATATCTCAATAAAGATTTTTTAAATGGAAAAAAAACTGTGTTTACATTGACTTGATGTTCACTTCTATTAAAAGGGGAGGAGGGGCTCTCTTTTACTTCTTTGCTTCTCCCAATAGTGGCTCTGTTTTCTTGGCACCCCCAATGGATTATTATTTATACTCTCACTGGTGGTCGTCTCCAGCTTATCCATGTTCCACATCCCGAGCCACTGGCAATAACAATACAGATGGCCCTGTCTTGATTTGAATGTGAAATATCTCCCATAGGCTCATGTTTTGAATGCTTGGTCTGAAGCTGGTGGCATTTTCGGGGGAAGTGGATCCTACCCGGAGGAAGTAGGTCACACGGGTCCCTAAACCCCCATTGTCTCATTTCCTCACGTGCAGAATGAGGCATAAGGTGTTCCTCTGTCACACGGCCTCGCACGTGGAGCTAGGCAACTATGAACTGATGTACAAAACCACAAGCCAAAATAAATCACAGAGATCCGCCTGGTTCTGCCTCCCGAGTGCTGGGATTAAAGGCGTGCACCACCACCGCCCGGCCAATTTATTCTTGTTTTAAAACTTGATGATGATGCATTGAGTAGAAACCGTGCTTCACTCCGGAGTCAGTTGGGTCAGTAATGTACAGTCCAATCCTTTCTCTCAATGCTGGCTAACAGCAGCAAACCAGAGTCCCAGTCCAACTTGGGGTCACAAAAGGAAGCGACACTCTGCCGTGCACAATGTGGCCAGTCTTCTTTCAGATACAATTATTCAATAATGTGCATGAGACACTAAATACTTCATTTACAGTAGGCTTTGTATCAGGTGACCTTTGCCCAGCTGTGAGCTACTATACATAGCCTATGCATGTTTAAAGTAGACAAGGTAGGCTAAACTATGATGTAGATGTAACCGACCATCTTATTAAATAAGAAACATAGAACCAATGCAAAGAAGAAAGCCAAGAGATCAGAGCTAAGAGCTAAAACCTTACCCTTCCTCCTGCGGTGGTCCTACCTCTCCGAATCACAACCACTTCCTGTGTGTCTCTCTTTTTATAGCGGTTCTGTTCTGCTTTCTCATTGGTTGTAAACCCAACCACATGACCGCCTTGTCACGGCCTGTCTATATAGACCTCCAGGTTTTTTATGATTGGTATTGAGATTAAAGGCATGTGTATCCAATACTGGCTGTATCCCTGAACACACAGAGACTTACCTAGCTCTGCCTACCAAGTGTTGGGATTACAAGCGTATGCCACCACTGCCCTGCTTTCCTATGGCTTGCTAATAGTTCTGACCCCCAGGCAACTTTATTTATTAACATACAAATAACATTTTAATACAAATAAAATATTACCATACTATGAGGTTCGGGAAGTTATTTAAATATATTTTCAACCCACCATGGGTATAGGATGTTACTCCAGAGGTTACAGAGTCAAAGAGCATTTGTATTGGTTTTTTTTCTTCTTCTTTTTAAGACTTTGGGCTGGCAAGAAGGCTAGGTGGTTAAGGTGCTTGGCACCAAGAATAATGACCTGAGTTTGACCAGGACCCTCACAGAATGAGAGTGCCAACTCCTGAAAGTTGTTCTCTGCTCTCCACATACATGGTATGGCACCCACCCTTGCCTGGCTTTGAACTTGTGGTTGTCCTCTAGCTTCTGCTTCCTGAGTGCTGGGATGACAGCTCACCCAGCTTCTGAGCATTGGTGGTTATTTATTTATTTATTTATTTATTTGGTTTTTTTAAGACAGGATTTCTCTGTGTAGTTTTGGTGCCTTTCCTGGAACTTGCTCTGTAGACCAGGCTAGCCTCGAACTCCCAGAGATCCAGCTGGCTGTGCCTCCCAAGTGCTGAGATTAAAGGGGTGTGCTACCACCACCCCTATTTTTTTTTTTAATTTTTTTCTTTTATTATTTTATGTGTATGGATATTTTGCCTGCATGTATGGCTGTGTGCCATATCCATACAGGGCCCACTGAGGTCAGAAGTGGGCCCTGCATGGATCCCCTGGAACTGGAGTTAGAGACAGTTATGAGCTGCCATGTGGGTGCTGGGAATCGAACCTAGGTCCTCTGGAAGAACAGCCACTGAGCTCTCTCTCTAGCCCGCTGTAGAGTTTTTATTTTTCTAACCTCAGTAAAAACTTTAATTCCCTCTGCCTCACCTCCCTCCTTTCAAATCAAACCTACTTCTCATATACACAAGCCTGACTTTATACACATTTTACTATATGCTATAGTTTGAATATGGTTTGTGCTCCCTACCAAATGCACACAGGAATTCAATCCCTAAAGTCATACATTAATGGTATGAAAAGGGTAGAAACTTAATCCAGCAGTGGTGTTTAGTGGTGGGACATTTGGAAAGTGGTTAGATTTTGGTAAGGTCGTAAGGATGGAGCCTCCTTGATGGAATCTTGGTGACTTTATATGAAGCGATAGAAACCAGCACTCACATTGGACAGGCATGCTCTCTGTCTCTTGGCCACGTGACATGTGTGCTGTTTTAGGACTCAGCCAGCAAGAAAGGCATCCTAAGAACGAAGCCACTGTGAACAACATGCCCTTGGACCTCCAAAACTGGGAGCTAAGCTACATGAGCCTTTTTTCTTACAAGTAGCCTTCCCCAGGTCTTCTGCTGTGGTCATGAACAAGACTAATGAATCATATAAGTGTATTTATGCACATGCTGCATTCTGATAACTTCCGTGAGGTAAATGCTTTCATTCGGTGTGAAATCTGTTTCATCACTCCACATTTGTAGAAACTCATATTCTTTTTGGGTGGAACATTCTGGAAGTCCTAATCCCCGATCCTGTTCTGAAAATACTACAGAGAGCCATTTGATTTCTGCTGCTGCAAACACGTAAGACAACTGGTAGGTAAGTTGGGTTTACATTCATTTTTATATTCAGATTATGTGTATTAGGTATTCAAAGCATTGCGTAATTTTTAGGAATGATTTCAGATTTTGTTTTGTTTGGTGAGGGGCTAGGGTTTGAACTCATGGACACGCACATGCTTTTAAGTATGCACTCTGCCCCACTCTCATCCCACAGGATGGTTATTTTTATAAGCTACTTGGAATGACGTTGATGTAGAAGGTTCTAGTACATTGCCTTCTTACAGGAATTCAGGTCTGGGGGAAATATTTACATCTTTTTCTTTTAGTTCTTTCTATTCGCTCTTTTCTTCTCCCCCTCCTCCTCGTCTTTCTCTTCATCTTCCTGTGACAAACCCACAGCTTTCCACCAAAGACTCAGCAATAATTTTTCCTGGCTAAACTTCCCTTCATGGAGCAGAATTTGCCTCTAGTTAAATTCTTGCTGAAGACGAGTCATGGCATGGCAGATACATTTGTGTTTCCTACAACAGGCTCTGTGGTGCAGCCAGGCTTAGTGACACAGGTCCCCGGGGAGGCAAAGGCAGAGGCGGGAATACCGGAAGTTTAATCCTGGCCGGGGCAAGAAGCACGACCTTGCCCTGGGGGAGAGGTGGTCTGTTGTGAAGAGGGATATCACGTCTTACCCATTAGGGAGATGCTGTGGGATGGTCTGTATGTCAAATTACTCTGATTGGTCAATAAATAAAACACTGATTGGCCAATGGCTAGGCAGGAAGTATAGACAGGACTAACAGAGAGGAGAAAAGAAAGAACAGGAAGGTGGAAGGAGTCACTGCCAGCCGCCACCATGACAAGCAGCATGTGAAGATGCTGGTAAGTCTCGAGCCACGTGGCAAGGTATAGGTTTATGGAAATGGATTAATTTAAGCTATAAGAACAGTTAGCAAGAAGCCTGCCACGGCCATACAGTTTGTAAGCAATATAAGTCTCTATGTTTACTTGGTTGGGTCTGAGCGGCTGTGGGACTGGCCGGTGACAAAGATTTGTCCTGACTGTGGGCCAGGCAGGAAAACTCTAGCTACAGGGAGGCCCAGGGCTGATGGTATAGGGTCAGGTGACTGGACAGTCTTGGGTGTAAGCAGACAAGGGGAGGGTGAGGAGGACGCAGAAGAGAGGGGAAGGAAAGGCAGCAGTGTGCTAACGGCTGTTACTGTTGTTGGTATTTTTTTTTTTACTCTTTGTTTTTGGGGAGCCAGCCACCCAGCTGTCAAATAAATACACAGAGACTTATTATTTCTTATGAATGCTCAGCCTTAGCTTATTTCCAGCCAGTTTTTCTTAAATTATCCCATCTACTTTTGCCTCTGGGCTTTTACCTTTCTCTAGTCTATGTACCTTTCTTTACTTCTTACTCTGTAGCTGGCTGGGTGGCTGGCCCCTGACATCCTCCTCTTCTCCTTTTCTCGCTCCTCCCCTTCTCTTCCTCTATTTCTTCTCTCTGCCTGCCAGCCCCATCTATCCCTCTCCTGCTTAGCTGTTGTCCATTCAGCTCTTTATTAGACCAATCAGGTGTTTCAGACAGGCACAGTAACACAGCTTCACAGAGTTAAACAAATGCAACATAGAAGAATACAACACATCTTTGCATCATTAAACAAATATTCCGCCGCATAAACAAATATAACACATCTTCAGCTAATATTCCACAACACGTTACAGATCGGTTAATATACACCCAGTGGATCTGTCTTCACATGCCTTGCTCACATCCTTTTCCTTTCACTTTCAAAACCTTTTTTTTTTTTTTTAAATTAGGCATTTTAACCTTTCTGATATATAGCATATATGGCCCATCTTGTCGGTCAGAGACTTTGACTCTGTAAGGGATTTGTGCTATCCCGTTTTTACTCACATTATAGCAATCCAGTCTTCTTTTCCTGAATCCTCTGACTTCCGGTCACTGTCAGAGCCCTACCACTACTCCAAGGTAACAATAAGTCCCCTCAAGTTTTCTTTCTGTAATTGGCATGGTTTCACTTCTTGCATTTAAATTAATGATCCATTGGGAACTTATTTTTCTATATGATGGGAGAGCATAAATCAAAATTCCATTTTTTTTCTAGATGACTAACCAGTTGTCCCAGCACTATTTATTAAAATCCAATATTGGTCCCAGTAGTTTGAACACCACCTTTATCATAGAACAGTAATGTTCGAGGTGCTTGGATTTTCTTCTAGATTTTCTGTTTTGATTGATTGATGTACCTGTATATTCACATGTCAATACAGTGTTGCTTTACACATACAGGCTCTATAGCATGTTTTTCATCTGAGCAGGTTAGCAGGCGCGCTCTCTCTCTCTCTCTTCATATATATAATACATATGTTTCTAGGATTTATTCTTGCATATTTATTTTCCACACAGAATTAAGTATTTGTCTAGCCTCATATGAAAGCCAGGATTAGGGTATATGAGAAAACAAATCTACAACCTGGAGAGAGCTAAGGTGGTTTTGACGGTGAGTCATCTTTCTCAAGTGCGACAGAAGTCTTCTTTCGGTAACCCCTTTCTGCAGAGTTGGGAGGTTCTCCTCCACGTGTGTCTCTCTAGCCGGTTACTTTGTGAGTATCTTCTTTTTTTGCAGAGGTCAAGAACAACCCGTGGGAGTTGGTTTCTCCTCAATCACATGGGTCTGGGGGTTAAATTCAGATCCCTAATCTCTTCAGTGAGTGTCTTGACCCATGCAACCAACTTACCTGCCCCTTCCTCCTTTGGGAGGCTCAGTATGTAGCCCAGGTACACAATCCTCCTGCCTCAACCTCTATTATGTGTGTAGGCCACCAAACCTGGCATCATATTCGATTTACTCTATTTAATTACTTGATTAACTTCATCATTGCTTCTGTACCATCATTTACTGGTACCGCTGTATCACAAATGTCTTCTTTTTTGTGTGTGGAAATTGTCAAGTTGAGTATTACCTTTGTTTGAAAATGCAGTTAACCTAGAAGAGTCTGAACAAAGAGAAAAAATAAATTGTTTTAAGGATGGGCAAGTAGGTCTGCGACCAGAATAGATAGCCTGGTTAGTCCTCTGGATAGTCCCAAGCATGTGGTATCAAGTGTCTTCTGATAAAATAGGCAGACAATCAAGGCGGGGAATGAAATGAAAATGTTGTTGAACAAATAGCACTGACTACTTGGATCCCTGTGTGTCCTGGCTAGTTTTTACGACACCAGCTAGTGTCATCTGAGAGGAAAAAAACTTAATTGAGAAAATGTCCTCTAAGATCGGGCTGTAGGCAAACCTGAAGAACATTTTATCATCAACCTTATCTGAAGTTACTGAGGGTGGTAACCTAGGTGATTTACTATAGATAGGTACTTCATTGTTGATGTGTTCACTTGCCATAAGTTGTTACTCAGATCTTTGCTGATGTGCTTGATATTTTATAGTAAATGCATGTCCTTACTAAATTCTAAAACCGCCAGGTGGTGCCTTTAATCCCAGCACTCAGGAGGCAGAGGCAGGCAGAGCTCTGTGAGTTCGAGGCCAGCCTAGTTTACAGAGCAAGATCAGAACAGGCACCAAAAACTACACAGAGAAAACCTGTCTCGAAAAACCAAAACCAACCAACCAAACAAACAAACAAATAATAAAAATAAAAAAATAAATTCTAAAGCCTTCTGAATTTGAATGTATACAAACGACACAATCCATATGAAGTGGTTAGCGTAGCGTTTGGCACACAGGAAGCCTCCTCCTCAGTTCACCACTGCTGGTAGCACGGTTTCTGTGGACCCATCCACCACGAACACTGCCACTGCAGTTATCACGACACGTGACAGGAGAGTCCAGAAAAGCGATTGGACACCAAACAGGGATTAGTCAGCTGGGTGTGGCGGCTTGTAACTTCAGCACTTAGGAGGTCGGGGCTAAGGAATTATCCCAAATGTGAGGCCAGCCTGGGCTACCGTTAGTTCTAGGCTGTCCAGGAATACGTCTAGAGACTCACTCTGTCACAAAACACAAACAAACCCAAGAGGAATTAAAGTAATTGCAGGGACAGAGGTGTAAAAGATGTGTTGGGTGTCCACAGGTGGCTCTTCCCAGCATTCACAGGGAGGCGGTGCTGTGACTCACAGAGACACCTGTGAGATGCTGAGACAAGGTCAAGGGCATGTCAGGAAACCTGCCTGCCTTCTCGGGTGGACAGAACCCAGGGCTTTCTTTACCGCGTGTGTGCAGGAAGGTAACCACCTGGAATATAGAAAGGGAGTCAGACCAAACCTTGGATCAGTTGACACCATGGTCCTCCTACCTTCCCATCCTCCAAAACTGCTGCCATTTACCATAGTAGCAACCAGAAGAGGCGAAGATAATTACAACATTCACACCCGCCTCTGTCTGCTCATCCATTACCAGGAGTGAGTTCAGTTGTTTGAAGTGAACCCTATTGTCAGTCTTGGGAAGCCAAAAGGCCCCTTTGGGTATTTTTTTTATTTCTGTAGATTGATTGGACCCTATCCTAGCATTGTAGCCTGATTAGATCAAAGCCGGGAAGCGGAAGCCCTGACCCCGAGCAGTTTAGTGAGGATGATTTCTGCTGGGAAGGGCTGCAAGCTAAAGCTGTGAATGAGAGTGAAACGACCGGACATGTCATTGTCTCTGCACAATTCAGGCTGGTAATGAGCCTCAGCAGGCTGAAAACCGGCTGAGCTAGCTTCCTGGTGGCTCACTGGCTCCCTCTTCTGGAGATGTGTGGGCATAGCCGTTCCTGTTCGATTAAAACTATTTTTTTTTCTTTACAAATCCTCATCGCCCTTCTCATAACTGGACGTTAATATTGACACAAATGATAAAATTGATTATGTCAAAATATTGCATCTGAAAGTTAAAAATACTACACTCTTTTTATGTCATTTTTTAGAAGAACAGATAACAGATTACCCAGAGTCCCACACTGCTCCCCTGAGCTCTTGCACTTTAACAAGATTATTGATACAAGACAAATTAAAAGAAAAACAGCGATATTTCCACTTACCAGAAACTAATTATTGTAAATTACAAATTGGGTGTTCTATTGTTGGTTTTATTTGTTTTGAGATAGGGAATGCAGCCCAGAATGGACTCAAACTCTAGGTGCTCTTGCTTCAACCTCCTGAATGCTGGATTACAGGTATTTACCAGTGTTCCCAGAAGAAAAGAAAATCTTTTGGTTGTTGGCTTTGTTTTAGTGTGTGTGTGTGTGTGTGTGTGTGTGTGTGTGTGCGCGCACATGTGTGCTTCAGTGCATGTGTGTGCATGCTCATGTAGAGGCCCAAAGTTGATGTCAGTGTCTTCCTGTATCAGTCTCTACTTTTTGGTGAGGCAGAGTTTCCAACTGAACCAGAGTTTGCCCATCCTGGCTAGGCAGCTTGCTTGCTCCAGGCAAGGGCTTTATCCACTGAGCCACCTGCCCAGCCCTGGTTTTTGTTTATTTGAAACAGTGTCTCATGTAGCACAGACTGGCTTTGGACTCCCTGTGTGGCTGAGGCGAGGTTCCCACGCTTGCTCTTCCAGCCTCCACTGTGCCCAGCTGGGAAATTAAATAGCAAAAATAAACCATTTATAACAATATTAAGAAATAACAAAGGTCTAACAATCTAAAGAAGATGTATGAGACTTTTAGCCAGGAAACTGAAATACTGTGAGAGAAATAAAAGTTTCAATACAAGAAGTGATATGCTGCTTTTGTTTTGTTGAGACAGGGTTTCTCTGTGTAGCCCTGGCTGTCCTGGAACTCACTCTGTAGACCAGGCTGGCCTTGAATTCACAGAAATCCGCCAGTCTCTGCCTGCTGAGCATTGGGATTAAAGGTATGCGCCACCCCGCCACCTCCCCCACCACCCCCACCCCTCACTGCTGTAGCTGGAGGGCTTCTCTCCAGGTCCCACCAAGCCCCGGCAGTCCGACAGCCCACTTATAAAATAAACACACAGATGCTTATATTATTTACAAACTGTATGGCTGTGGCAGGCTTCTTGCTAACTGTTCTTATAGCTTAAATTAATCCATTTCCACAAATCTATACCTTGCCACGTGGCTCGTGGCTTACCGGCGTCTTCACATGCTGTTTGTCATGGTGGCGGCTGACAGTGACTCTCTCTGCCTTCCTGTTTTCTCTGTTCTCCTCTCTGTTAGTCCCACCCATACTTACTGCCTGGCCACTGGCCAATCAGTGTTTTATTTATTGACCAATCAGAGCAATTTGACATACAGACCATCCCACAGCACCCCGCAATGGCAATATGCTACTTTTGTGAACCAGAAGATACAATATTATAAATTGATCAGTTCTTCTCAAATTTGCGTCAAGATTCACTGTCAACAAATAATGCATTTTTACTGAAGCAGCGATACAGAGAAAAAGGATTTTGTCGTCTGTGAGCATTGACCTGGGGAAGGAAAAGTCGGTCAGATGAAGGTCACTTAGCAAAGCCACTGAATTGTAAGTCCCTAGGGGAGGCAAAGGTCTGAGGGCCACCTGATGAGCAATGTGACTGTGGTTTGTCAGGATAAGGTCTCAGTATGTAACACAGGCTGGCTTTGAACTCCCCGTCATCCTGACTCTGCATCCCAAGTGGTGAGGTTAGAGGTGCACTCTGTGATTCCTAGCTTCACAGTATGGTTCCAGTGAACAAACAGTGTAAGAAAAGGAAACATTCAGGTCTCAGTCTCTCTCTCTCTCTCTCTCTCTCTCTCTCTCTCTCTCTCTCTCTCTCTCTCTCTCTCTCTCTCTCTCTGCAAGCCTGGACAAAGGCCTTTATCACTACCAAACCTGCAGAACCCTGATCTTAGACATCCTGGCTTCTTGAACTATGACGATTTTTTTTAAACCACTTAACATATGGTATTTGATCATGGTACTATGAGTTGACTAAGATGTAGACTCCCATGAGAAAAGTAAACAATAAAGATCTTCAGAGAAACTGCATGCTCAGAGCATGAAGAGATCAAACAGTGAGTAGGAAAGCCAGTTTCTTCTGAGACATGAAGACTGGGTTGTGGGGAGGGCGTATTGAGGTTCTTTGCAACTCCAGAGATACTCTCACGTGGGAGACTTTCATGTGAGTGTTACATTGAAAATAACTCTAAACTATTTAAGTTGATTTAGACTGTCTGTTTAAAAAGAAAGCCACACAACTGGAGCCTCCGGTGTCCTGACTTCGGGGTGAGCAGGACTCGGGAGAGATGATGGCCAAGCTCAGAGATGCATAGCATTTTCACAGCTGCTGCTGGCTGTCTCTGGGGTGGCTTGACACGGAACGGAATGCAGAGGTCCTCTGGCTGTTTCCTGTCCTGATGGGCGGGTGAGGCTGTGGGGCACAGGCTCAGACGGCGGAGCTGTTCTGGGTTTCCACTCTTGGGTTTGCTCTGGCTGCTGGAGCCAGCACGGACCTATCTGAAGCCAGGCCAGGCCAGCCTCTGGCTGCTCTGCTCGGGTTTTGCTGAGGCAGCGGTGGCCTCGTTGACCACTCCCTTGTGGCAAGACAAGAATCCTAAAAGGTGTTGGGAAAGGAACTTCCGGCACACTCCTGTTTCCTCTGGGGAGATGACGTGCTCCTGAGCTGGCTCACCGAAGAAGCCATTGTTACAGGAGGGTGGTTTGTCTTTGAGATGCGGGTTCCAGGGTCCCTGGCATCTGTTGGATAAATAGATGTATTGGGGTTCTGGTCAGCGTTGTGGGCACGTTGCTGTGGAGATTCTGAGGGTAGCTGAGGTACTTCCAGTTGTGGCCTGGTCTATAGCCCTTCCTGAGGGATGGAGCTTGCTTGCCCTGCTGAGTGCAATATCCCCAAATATAGTTTTTTTTTCTACAGTTGAACGCTGTTGTAGATTTATGTAAAAATGCATGCTCGTTTTGAAAATAAAGATTTTCATGCCTTGTTTAAAAAAGGGGGGGGGCGGTTGGGTGTGGTGGTGCAAGCTTTTAATCCTAGCACTTGGGAGGCTGAGGTGGGGGGGGTGGTCTCTGGTCTGCACAGTGAGTCTTAAGACAGCTGGGCTACATATTGAGACCTTGTTTCATCAATAAATACATAAAACTGAACTTTGTATTTGACTATGGTTACTATGTTTCTGGTACAATACAAAAGCTTATAAAAAAAAAAAATACTGGACCTGGGCATGGGGTAGGCTATGGCTTACCTAGCATAAGCTAGGCCCTGGAGCCGATCCCTAGGAACAGAAAACAACAAAACATACAAAATCCTAGGCAAACACAGAGGAGGCTGTGCTCTCTGTCCAAGATAAAAAACAAAAAACCACAACAAAACCATACCCGTCAAAGGCACCCACAGACTCCGACTCCTGTAACATCTCTCTGGGTGAGGGACACAGCGGCTTCCATCTTCCTGTTACTATCACAGCAGTGGAAACAGCCGCAAAGGTAATAGGGAGTTTTCCCGTCAAGCACTGTTGTGAATGTTTCCTACATCTTGTCTCATTTGGTCCTCGTTCACCCTAGGAGGCCCATCCTCCAGTGGGAGCGGAAGAACGGGGAGGTTCCCGAACGGTGGGGTTGGAAGCCGTCGGGACTCGTTAACACAGCACAGTGTTGTCTCTCAGCTCTTCTGCCTCCTACCAGACGATGTTCCTGCCAGGGAGGTTCCAGGTTCCCAGCTCTTCCAGATCCAGGTCATCCAGGAAGGAACCGCTCGGAGGCTCTCCTCATAGCCTGGGCACCTGCAGCCCTGCCCCAAAATAAGAACCGAAAACAGGAGGTTTATGTCTGAAAAGGACCATTCCCTGGCCAGAGTCCAGATTCTCTGCCATTTGTAAACCTTGGGCTTAAATCTTTAGTGAGCAGATGCCTTTTTTTTTGTTTTGTTTATTACCCCCACCCCCCACGCCAGGTAAAAGTTATTGTATCTTAATCACTTAATAACTTATTTTCTTTCTGGGTTTTTGAAAATTGCTTTTGCAAAATGAGCTGAGTGGGTGTGAGCTAGGGGATGGATGTAATCCTAGAGCCCACTGGGGCTGGAGAGGTCAGCTGTGGCTACACACCTTGTCTTAAAACAAAACAAAACAAAACAACAGTAACAACAACAAAAACCCAAACAAGCCTGAGGGTGGTGGCCCAGGCCTTTAATCCCAGCACTCTGGAGGAAGAGCAAGCAGATCTCTGTGAGTCTGAGGCCAGCCTGGTCTACAAAGTGAGTTGCAAGTCAGCCAGGGCTGCACAGAGAAACCCTGTCTCAAAAAATAAAAACAAAACAACACAGGAAAAAGATTGCTTTTGCATTCAGTTCTGCAGCTGTTTAGAGCTAGACACCACAGAGCGAGGAGTCTCTCTGCCTGGAATTACACTGAATATTTATATTCATTTAAAATATTCTTTTTGATATTTAACCCGCAGGAAGTCTTGATGAGACACTTATTTGTGAGAAGGGGTGAAGTGGAATAATAAATATTGGGTAAATAATGCAACACTACAAATTCAGACCAATAAAAATTAACTGCAGAGTACAGAGAAGTTCAGTCAAATGTGAGGCGTGAGGGAGGAGAGAGAAGAGAAAGAAAAGATGAGGGCGAGAATAAAGGGCACAGGTTCTTCCCTTGAAATTAACCCTCAGGAAGCAAAAGGAGGGCTGGAGAGACGGCTGAGGAGCTAAGAGTCGGTGTGCTCTTCCAGGGGACAGGAGTTCGGTTCCTGGCACCCTCTAAGTCCAGCTCCAGGGGATCTGATGTGTCCAGCCTTCACAGGCATCTGCCCTCACATGTACATACCCACGCAGGTGCACATAACTGAAAGTAATAAAAAATAATCTTAAAAAAAAAAAACACAAGACAAGGTTCGGGAGAGATGGCTCAGAGGTTAAGAGCATTGGCTACTTTTGCAGAAGATCCTGTTTGGTTCCCAGCACTCACATGGCAGCTCACAACCACCGGTAGCTCCAGTTCTGGGAGAGCTGATGCCTTCTTCCGGTCTCCAGGGGACACTAGGCACACACACACAATGCACTTACATACACGCAGACAAAACACAAACACACATAAAATAATTTTAAAAAATCTTAATAGCTGGACAGTGGTGACACACGTCTTTAATCCCAGCACTCATGAGGCAGAGGCAAGCAGATCTCTGTGAGTTTGACGCTAGCCTGGTCTACAGAGGAAGTTCCAGCCCAGTCAGGGCTACACACAGAGAAACCATATCGAAACAACAACAATAAAAACTTAATAGAAAAGAAAACAAAGTGTACTCTAATCAACAGCAAACTCACCTTACAGGACTGCTAAGAAGTGTGATCACCCACATTGGATGTGGTTTTTGGGGATTTGTTAGTGACCATCACAAAACTGTTGTCCTATGGATCCACTGACGAGCACAGATTTTTGTCTTTGAACAACTTACACTTTGGGGGTGACAAATGCCTGGAATCTCAGTACTCAGGAGACTAAGGCAAAAGGATCATGAGTTTGAGTCTAGCCTGGCCTACATAGCAAGTTCCAAGGAACCCCAGCTCTACTGTGAGACCTTGTTTCATAAAACAATGCAAAATTTAGAGAGAGAGAGAGAGAGAGAGAGAGAGAGAGAGAGAGAGGAAAGACTACATAGGAACACACAATTGGAATATCAGGTGTCGTAATGTAAAGACAAAGAGTCAATGGCTTTTTATTTCAGGCAAAAGCTTGAATAACACACTAACTTCTTTCATGCCTGCTTTCTGTAATATATTTCCTGGGAGGACAAATCCTACGTAGAAAAAGCCATGATAAGGAGGACACACAGCATTCACAAAGATAATAAACTGTGTTCAGAAAATCCCCGGAGTTAAAATGAAGGTTAGAAAGCATTTCTCTCCTAACTATGTTTCCTTTAATCCCACTTTCTATGGCCTTGAATAGAATTAGGCCACCTCAGAGGGAGCGATAGGAGAAGATATCTGAAAGGGGGAAGCCGGGCAGTGAACAGTGGGTGCCACAATTTTTTTTACGGAACTGCTCTGTCAGCCTGTGAGACCTTTTCCAGCCAGCAGCTAGTGGAGCTGCCATGTTAAAATATCACGGAGTCAGCGGGACATTCTGGAATAAGAGAGTTCTCTTTCCTCAAGGGAAGGGGTGGCTGTTTGCTTTTGCTCCTATTTTACCAGGCACTTAGATT